GCTCTCTTTCTGTTTATTTACCATCTAAATATTATTATTGAATACCTCGGTATCGTGTATTTATGAAAGTCAGGTAAAATGTCCATATAAGGTTACCACCACGGCAGCGAGTCCAGTTTCACTGTCCCATCTGCAGCTTGTCGTGTGGAATGCCGTGATGCGCATTCAATGCGTGGATATCAATTATGCTGATTATTCCACGTGTCATCCCTTGACACCCATTTCAAAGAGCAACACTCTAGCTGTTTTGGAGTGAGTTGTTCTCGTAGTTTATCCGATTACAATTATTGCAACGCATGCATGAGCTTGTGGCTTTGACACACTGCCATGTGTTTTTGACGGATGTTAGGAGGGATGTGACGAAATCGGGAAATTATATAGCACGTCATCTTCGACTCCCATACATCCGATATTCGTTTCATTCGTAGTCTTCGTTACTGTTATCTCTACATCCTATCGCTGTTGCAAGCATTGGACATCTTTATTGCGTAACAATACGTGTGGCAAATTACTACACCCTGCCAAGTGTGGTGCTAAGAATAGAGTCAGCAATGGCTGGCGACTTCACAGAACCACAATTAGATGACAAAACCAGTAGCAATATAAATCATTTTAACATTTCTAGTTCTACAGTGGGAATTTTAATCTTGATAAATCAAGGAAACTGTGTAGGCCTATGTTGTTAATTACGTTGTACCAACCCTAGAGTATAGGCCTATCACTTGCGTACAGCAAGTTTGACCTCCGGCGGAAGTAGTCAAATCGGAAACTTAAACAAAATTACTCGTCAGGATCATGTGACGACAAAGAAAAAAATCATATAAGTGCTCTGATAAATACAATCTGTGTGCACTGGGCATTGTTGAAACTATTCTCGGGTTTTGGCGGAAAAATGCTTTCAGTTTGGAGTTGGTTGCATGCACTGATGTCGCGTAATTGGTTGCTGTGTGCGACGGCCGTTGCATGTCTCACCAAACGAAACTACTCGTTCTGTTCTTGTCCTGAAAGGCCCTCATTATTCGGAGGTGTGATCTGTGGGTTGAACTTGATAATTGAAAACAAGAGAGAATGACAGAGCAGAATACCTAGTCGTGGAACGTCCAAGATCGGGGATTTCTGTTGCAGTTCCGGAGTGTCATCAGTTTTCAGTTTAGAATTGTGTCTGCGCTAAACCAACCACATCCACCTCCACGGTCCCGGCCTGTTTCCTCGCTTATTTTGTCTCGTGTTCGAGTGAGAACAAAATATTGTTTGGAGAAAAAACAATGTAGAAACCTGTGTAGGCGCACATGGGGTGCAAATACCGCCCTCAACAGACTTTCGTGTATCTTCTCGGTCGAACCTGGACTCCATATTTTCTTTGTCGTCCACCTCCCCACAAACAAACTCTGAATACGAGACGTATTCCTGACGAGAAGAAAACTCGCAAGTAAATTCGTCAGACGGTTCTACTGGGACAAAGACTTTACACTAATCTTCCTACACTAATATTACCCGCCTTGCCCCGCCTACTACTCTTATTATAGAGCCGGTATCCCTTGTTTCTATTCAAAACATGAACCCTTGACTGGGAATCTGCCAGCACGATGGTGGAGAAGTTCCCTGCAGGACCGAAACATGACTGCCTCGTTACCCGTAACTTTTCCCAGTACTGTTCTGGTGTGAATTAAAAGCGGGATATATATGGATGGCAATCTTTACATCCTTCGCCAATGCCCAGCGGCTGTGCACCGCCAACTTGCCGCGTACAGGGGCTTCTGTAGGCCACAGCATGGGGCTTGTAGTTCAGTTCACCTCAAAACATTAAAAAATGACGGGATGTGCGATTGCTGGAAGAACACTTAACCTGTTGTGCTGCCACAAATTAAACCCATTTGGTCGGTGACTAACATTTCCGCAATCTCCTCAAGTCAGGGGAGAACATGTCCCTCCAAAATTATGTAAGTTTCTCGTCACGGTGGGACTTTTACATCTGTATGCAATGTTACGACTCGTTGCACCGCGCGACACACAGTTTCCTACCTCCGCAAGTCACTTGTAGACCTGTTCCCAAAACGCGTCCTGACGTCATTGGAAATATGAAACAGCCGTCGTGCAGCTAAACACCGGGTGGGAAAGGGCATCAAGTTCGCGGGAGCGTTCGATCACAAAGCGCAAGTCCTGTTGCCCAAGTACACATATGTAATTGCCTGCGTCGTGCACGTGCGCGGTTGTCTGGCCTCTACAGTGCGATATCAACGGCGAGCATCGTCAGTAACACGCCGTGGATTCACTCGGTCGTTCGCAGCATCTCCGGATCGCATCCCGCACGATCGGTTGGCCTCTCCTCCATACACTCCAGCCAGGCCTCCCACCTTCAATAAACTGGCAAACTGTCTTCTTCGGTGCAAGGCATCCAGACTCCGCAGGATCTGAGAGGAGACTGAACGGTTCATCATGGATGCCGGTGTGGGACTCTTCGAGACTCTGTTTTTCGCCTCCCTGGCGGTGAACGTCTGCAGCTGGCTTCACTTTGGGCTCTTCGCCGTGATGGACAAAATCGTGGCTCCTGAGACTCAAAACAGAGTCACCAAGCTACGACTGGCCCATAAACACAATGCAGCTTTCATGAGAAACTTGTGAGTAGCCATTTTCTACGCTAAGCCCGTTTTAACCTGAGGTTATGTCTTCAATTTGGAACGTTAAACAGTTACTGAATAGGAGAAATAAATTTCTGATCATTTTCGCATATTTAAAAGTTGACACTGAATCATCTCGTTATTTATGATCCTCAGTTTTGCTTGATTCAACACTACCGTTTTCAAAATGCACTGAGCTGACTTACTCGAAATCTGTTGTCAACGTTGTAAGTTTGTACATGTATTAACACTCAACTCGACGTTATAACCTTGCTTTAGCATGTTCTGCCGACAGTTGTTTTAGACATTAGAAGTGCTCAAAAATGTTTTCCAAAGCACATGCTCAACTCATAATCTTGTTATTCGCTATGCTGTGTACATAAACCTTGACTCATTACGTTGTGTATTCCTGGTGTCCGTCAGTAGTTCCAGCAGTGATCATTTTGATATCTCTTCGTTAAACTCACTGATAAATCATATCGAAAGATAGGAATAGCGCTTCGCATGGCCTATGGCTTTCCTAGTCATTGGGAAAACATTTCGTGGATTGTTGATTTACAGTTGTTTTAACCACCTTAAGCGGACATTCACTTTTCCCTGAACCCTGTTCTTGACCCCAATGGACTGCCTGCAATGCGTACTTGGGAAATCATTCATGACTTCATTTGAAGTAACGCGCCAAGATCCGTTGATAAATATAGCAAGGGGAATTCCAGAAATATTCTCCGTGAGCTGTTCATGGCGGAAACCTGGACGGCAGCCGTAACTCACGCGGCAGGCGTTGCTAAACCTGCTAGCTGAGGAACTTTCTGGATGGCTGGATAACATTCATCGATTTCCTGGAAATGTATATGTCTTAAAGTCGCAGGGAATGTCGAGTAAGATCTGTCATATGGCCATGGGTAGCAGGGAAGGTACCTCGTTATCCTGAAGGCAAAATCTACTACTTTGACCCGTAACTTATCACTTCGGCAATGTGAACATGATATCTTATTTGGAAGCATTACATACGCGTTATCCACAAGCTATATACCGGTACGCGGATAATTTAGGAGTGGTTTTGACATCATGCTTGTGGACGGGCGTCATATATTCTCAAAACAGGCTTTCGTAACTTATACTGAAACTGATGACACATTGTCGCACAAAAATAAAGCTACCTGGTCTTTCTGCGATAAATAAACAGCTGTCGGACTGTTTTTCGGATGATGTCATTCAGTGTGCTGGCAAATTGTGTTTTTTTCCCAAAGAAAATGTATTTCAGAATTGAAGTTTATTAATCCAACGAGGCGGGAACCTCGATGGAAAAAAGTTGTCAGGCAAGTGCTGGGGCCTGATAGTAGTGAGGCTCCATCGTCTTGATTGGGTCCCACGGGGGCTTCCCACAGTACAAATAGAGGTGGGGAGGGAGGGTAGCCACGCCCTTCATGCACCCAACCGTTACTGCATGCACTGTCTAAACCATCCGTTCAGTCCTCACGAACCCGAGCTCATCAGCAACGAACCATCGAAGGCGATTGTTGCTGCGTCATGCCTCAACCCAATCCACGCTAAAATTCAGAATGAGACGCGTTCTATCCAGCGCGATTCTCGGCAGAGAGAATCATGTGCCCTTGGAAAGCTGTAATTTTTATGGCGGCACTGACGAGTGCTTCTAATTTCGGAGGAGAAAACCTGCACAGGTTCCCGATTTCCGGTCATATGTTGTCATTTTAGGACTTGGATGGTTTATTGACTTAAAGCAATAGTTTAAATCTGAATGTGAATTTGCAGAGGTCTACCTGGACAGACTAGGCCTACATGTACGTCAAGTTGGCTTCAGTTTGGAAGAACATAATATACCATTATCTTTTGAAGAATCCTGTGTGTTCATGAACTGAGTAGAGTCGATTTGGTAAAAAAAAAGGTAAATGGATGAGAAGAGCCAAGGGGCAAAATGAAACATTTCCTATAAATTTAAACACGACTAGCCACAGCCAAAAACACATTTCTTATTAAAGATTAGTTCCATTGGGAACTGACTGACATATTGGAATGGCTTTTTCAGAGTGTAGGCCTAGGCCTATCTTGTTTAGCAAAATGGTGGTACAAGTGTATACGTTAGAAGCTAAACTCTGGTGCCGTTTCTTCGTTGGGAGTTTCCTGCTATCCCAGAGATTTCTATTGAAAATTGGACTTCGCAACGATCGAGTGAAGCCATGTGTTGTGCTGGTATAGACTCACCCCTTCGCAGCTTAGCAATTTACAGTGTCGGTTAAGACGATATTTCTTGAATAATTTCTTCTCTCTTCCCCGTATCTCTGCAAAGATGAGTTACTAACCATCCCGGACAAACGCGGCGAATGCCACAATCCCACAATGTGTCTAAAACTAAAAGTGAAGGTCCGTTGCGCGGAATTCGGCCTCAGTTTCAGGCTGCGCGGTTCCATTTTAGCCCGGAGCAGGCAGATGTGCCACGGTCCGACAGGTGCAAGCTATTTCCACGGCGATTTGAATAATGATGTCAGATTATCTGTCAAACGGTTTGCAGTTTGTATTTCACGCGCTAGTTTTCATATGCCGCAACCGAATATTCTTGGGAATTTTTTCTGTCTGCCCATACGCCTATAGTCATTACCTGCAACTGTAGATGTTATGGCCTTAATTTCATATGTCCAGCTTGATCATTATAATACTATAAAAGTGGATTTTTTTATTGTTATTATCTTAGATAACAGGCCTATATGAGTCAATTTATTACCTTGAACCAATGTGCTGATTTTGTTTTTACCTTGGTTGTAAGGGAAACCAGAGAATTGTGTAACCTCAATTCGTCCTTCGCAAGTGATTCACACAGGAATATACCCGTGTACTGATAAGAAACGGCGGTTCATTATCATTACAACGTACATCCTATGTATGTACAAGCAGAACTTGACTTCACTTCCCCTTTTCTGAAAGTTGCCGGAACATCCACACGGTTGAAGACAACATCAAACTTGCATTAAAAAAAACCTCTGGTGGGGAAAAATTGGCAAAACAACGGCTTATATCGCTTGTCACTGAGCCCCTTCTTTACGGTGCCGTTGTATCTGTCCGTATTGGCTCTTCCTCTGTTCATCGAAGAGGAAACCAGATAAAGCCGTTGCCGTTCGGGCCTTTCTACGGTCACTTATCGACTCATACATCTAATATCGGTATTGCTGGCTCGTTAGCACCCTTCCGTTAACAGCGTTATCTTGTACAGAGGGACTTTCCTGTCTCACACGCAGGCTACAGCCGGCTTGCATACGTTATTGTCCTGGGACAGCAACAAAGAACCATTTCTTGATTACTTTTGAGGGTAGGGGCACGCGACACACCACCCTCCGCAAGCATACGGGCTGCCAGAACAAAGACTTGTTATTGTGCCGGGCCCTGCTTTTTGTGGGCTGCGTGTTCCCGTTTTTAATGAAGACTTTGTTCCTTGGTCGGGTGCCCTGCAACAAAGCAGCTCAAGATTTTGTTCAATCGTAGCGTAATTGATTTACCCTCTGTCTCTGCGGTTCCTGTTTACCCTGCAACATCTGCCGTGTATTTGTGCACGGAACAAAGTCAATAAATGGAGTAAAAGAACAAAAATATCACATTTCCAGATGTAAGCCTGTATTAAAGTATTACAGTGTGAATTTAAAACTTCGTCACAAAACCCCTTTTTGAAGAACTGTTTCAATTTTCAAAAATAGGTTCTATTTATTACAGTGTGTTTCTTCTTAAATGATCGGATAGCCTATCTGTAATAAGCCAGAGATCCGAAACAAACATTTCTTGATGATAATTAGTTGCGTAAGTCCTTGCGTCAGGGCATGATACCCGCTAGTCCAATATCATAATTCATTCCACGTAGTTCATTCCACATTGTGTGCGTACAGGCTAGCTCAGCAACTACGTTATTGGCAAGGGAAACCCCGTTGTTTTGGTCAATTGCGAAATATCATTCTGCGGTACGAAGAATTAGGGCCTCAATTACCTTGTGTAAACGTGCTTGGATGTGGTATTTAAGGTAAATCACGTCGGTGTTATGAAGGAATTTGTCGCGTCAGTGTTTATGAAATTTGCACTTGGAAATCTAAATTACGAAATGGAGACCTCAATTTGATTGAATTCAGTTTCACTGTGTCACTGACTCTTCTGTTGCGCACCTTAACCGACAATTCAGAATGTTGGGTCCCTGTTGCAAAATATGCAGACTTTTTAAGATCTCAGTAATTAACAAGATGTACTTGAAGTTCAGAACCTCGTGTCTGACCTTCTAACAGGTCGTTTACTCTGACGTTGTATACATAAATGTACATGTACATTTGCCAAGGAACCACTTTGGGCCGCAAAGCTACAAAGCCAGGCCCTGTCCAAACCGGGCTGTGTTGTGTACGGCTACGGCTGCTCACGCGCTGACAACAGTACGAAGCCGTAGCCGCATGACGAGTTGGACATGATGAGATGAGGGACTGTACCGCGAAGGATAATCGGAGATGTAACGTGTAGTTTTCAAGGTCTATGCGGACTGCAGCAGCTTTTGGTCAAGTTTGCTAGTGTCTTCTTCTTTCTTTTCCTGTATGCAAGTCAAGTTAAGAGCCCACTTAGCTCGATGGTGGCGCTCGGACGGTGATTGCCCTTTGCACAATGCACATATCGAGTTCCATGTTTCCGCCGTATGACTGTCTGTAAATATAATCGGGTGCCTACGTGACACGGCGAATGTGCACTTGATCATACATCGACTCACATTGCCAGAAGAGGTTTAATGAAGTTTCGTCATTTCTGCCCAACTTGACGAGGACTGAAGCCTTGTTTTTCCAAACGTGAGCCGTGTGTTCAATGTTAAAGGGTTGTTAGACTGCACTGTGTCAATGCCAATGAATGTTTGTAACAGCAATCCATCTTGGCCAGAATACACGCCAGACGGAGCGATAAACAGCGGGGTTAAGTAAACCCGGACAATTTCTATACATCTAGCATGCAAGGTTGTTTTTTTTCCCCTT